CGGAACAGGAGTCTCCGCAGAACTGGCGTCCAGATCTGGCTGCCCACGCACACCCAGACTCCAGTGGAAACTGCCGGGAGTGAGTGAGAAGAGGAAACTCCGCTGATCTCAGACCTGGTTCCCACACGACTCCTGACGAGAAGCGGAACTTGGGACAAGTTATTTAAGTGCCAGTTCCCAGCAGGCTTTGAGTCTCAGGCTCTGCTTTGCCCAAGGCTTCCTTCAGAGACTTGCAGTCGGCTTATCATGTTGAGAAGCGGAGGGCAGTGCGGCCTCGGAATGGAAATATTAAAATGGATCTTCTTTCCTTGCAGAGTGCTGCAGTCTGTTTGTATCACAGTTTCCTCGGAGCCTGCTGTTAAGTCAGAATCCCACGGTGGTTATTTTAGTCTGTTGACACTGCGGTTCCGTATCTCACCACGTGGCATCATCACGTGTAGGAGCATGACACTCGGGGGCACCTTGCCTCTGGCTGATTGATGGCAAGTGGGTGCTTCTTTTCAGAACACCCCTTAGCGTGAACTATATCCGAAAAGACACGTGGGTTACTTTCTGTTAAAATGCCAGAGAGCAAAGAAGCACATGCTTTGAAAACATCCCTCCTCTCAAAATTCCACATGTCTGAATGACGTTAGAAGCAGTTACTGTAGCCGGTGCTGGTGATGTTATTTTCTTAGGCATTTCAATTTGAACTCAATTTGCCTGCTGTGAAGTTAAATTCCTATTGATTCCTATTTTATGCTAACATAGTTCCAGATTTCACTTTTGACTACAAAACAGAAGAAAAGCATACTTCAAACAAAGCCAGAAAACAGGACCTCAAAGTTACACTAACCTGGAGACAAACGTCTGACCAGGCAGAAGCCCCCTGAAGTTACTGTACACATGGTCACCTCTGGCTGGCAGTTGCCATCCTGGGTGTTCATTTTCAACCTCTGACAGTCAAAACGTTAGATCTGGGAGGGAACATTGAGGCCCTTTGAGCCAACCTGCTCCTTTTACAAAGGAGGACAGAGGGAGAGGCGAGGTACTTACTCAAGCAGGGAATCACTAGGCCCAGCACATGGGGAATGAACATTTCAACTCCCAGAATTATTGGTCTTTGTTTACCTCTCTCAACAGTCGCTTTAGAAATGGTTTTAAAATGTGAAATTTATTGCACTGCATAAAGTTAAGGAAAAAAAGCTCCCTCTTCTACTAGATCCTTCCTCCCACCCAGGCCATCTAACTCTTGGGGGAAATCACAATCTGTTTGCATATGCAAATTCTATGTGTCTGTATTCACGCAAATGTGTGAACACACGTGAAGATTTGTTAAAAATCATTTACCCCAAACTAGAAGCGAATTAAACCAATAGGAATTTAGAACTACAACATAAATATTATCTCTAGAAATTATCACTAAAATTTTTTAGAGTATTCCTTTATTGTAAGATTTTTATTTAATTTGCATAGAAGATCTTGGGGCAGAGGTTCAGGGCTTGGGGTGGGGGGGCTGGTCAAAGGACTCACCAGTGTGGAGAGCAGAACTGGCAGAGCTACTGAAGTCCACTGCTGAGGGAAACAGTGGGGAGATAGCAGAGGTCTGCTGTGCCACACCGATCAGCTCCCTGGCGGGCGCTCAAACTCAGGCCATTATGGTGACAGCGGCCTCAACCCCTCGGCCACCAGGGAGCCCTATCACTAAATTTTACTACAAGCCACTCAGCAGATCAGGCGTTGTCACCCTTGCTGTGATGCACAGCCCAGGTCCCCGTCCAGGACTGAAGGGTTTATCCCCCCACCCCTGGGTGGGGGTGCTGGCAGCCACAGTGCGCAGACCCCACAGGCCCAGCTGATGAATGGTCAGTGTGGATGGACCAAGGCCAGGCCCCTGTGATATGATGTGAAGCATTTTCAGGTGTCCTGGGGGCTGTGGAGGCCTTATTGACACTGCCACACAGCCAGCCCCCTCCTCTACCTCTCCTTTCTGGGGTGCTCATCTGAAAGCACCCCCCTTCCGCCCTTTCCCCCCACCTCACGCCCCACCAACACCCTGTGTGCTCATCTCGGAGTCCACTGCCCTGCAGTGGGCAGTTTTGGGCTGTTAAGATCCAGTTTTTGCCACAGCTGCTAAATTAATCAAGACCGAATTTTTCAAAGAAAATTCCTGAAAATCATGGCACCCAATGAATATGCATTTTGATTCAAGTCACTTTTTCACACGTGTAGAAAACCTTCACAATTTTATAGGGAAGCAGATTTCAAAACTAAACACTGCAGTTTGGGGGCGGTGGGAGGGGAGGCCGAGAAGCTGTTACATAAACTGCGGGCGCTCACAGGTGCAGGTGAGGACTGTGGCGGCGCAGAGACGCGCTTTGGGCTCGGCGAGGAGACGCGCTTTGGGCTTTGGGCACAGGGCTCCACTCAGAGGTAAAAGCCCAAATGCAGCTGCAGCGCAGGGCTGGAAGGAAAAGGTGGGCAACAGGCCCAGGCCCAGGCCACAGCGGAATTCTGAGTCCATCCCCTGTCAGGAGCCGTGTCAGGCCCTGGAGGTTCGGAGAGAACGGACAGAACCCCAACTCTGACATCCTGTGTCCAGCGGGGGGTGAGCACCCAGGAGGAAGCCACGGGGTGCCCCAGACAAAAGGACTTTGACTCCCACCGAGGCAGTGAGAAGCAGCAAAGCACGAGGGGTGGGGGTGCCCCCCGGGGGGTCAGGCGCCCCGGACCCAGGGCAAGATGGGGCGTCGCTCAGGTCACAGAAGGCCCTCGATGCCGCACGGGTCGGCACTTTACCCTTCGGCGTGAGGTCCGTATCAACCAACTTCCCATTGCCCACTGCTTGCTTTTCTTACGTCACTGCTCATTTTGGGACATTTGATTTCTCTGCTCAGGCGCAGCCCCACGGCTCCCCCAGCACCAGGCACCTGCAAGCCGCCTCCACAGCCCCGCGCCCCCGCCCCGCCGGGTGTCTCACACCTTTGCTGTGCCTGAGAGTTTCTCTCTTCTGACCCTTTGCTCCGGCTCCCTGTAAGTGAAATAATCAACTTTATACTGATAGGATTCATTTTTTTTATGTTGAAAAGATCATTCTGGGTCCGGAACAGAGGACAGACTGGCAGGCAGAGGGGTGGGGAAGCGTGCTGGGGTGTATAGTAAAGAGGGGGGCTGAGGGGGGGACAGACAGCAGAGTGGGGAAGGGGGCGAGTCTGGGAGGACGCAGAGAACTTGAGGCAGACTGATGGGGCTGGGGGGCAGCAGACCCGCCCCCTGGGTCTCTCACACAGTGGCTCAGAACACCGGCCCTGAGTGTCGAGGCCTCTTGGGCTTGCCTTGGGCTGAGGTGCTGCAGAGCCCCCGAGGGAGAGGCTCAATGGCGGTGGGCCCTCGAGCTGGCTGCTGACGGCAATGCGAACCCTCTGGGTACCCTCCTGTGGGGGGACAGCCAGGAGAACCCACCAGACAAGCCGCTCCTCCGGTGAGTTAGCCAGTGCTTTGCCAGCGCCCGCCCGGGCGGCTCAGCCTTCACTGTGCACGGAGCGCGGCCCACGGCCCCAGGCTGAGCTCCTCGCTCAAGCCAATGTAGGAAACTGAGTCCCAGCCCCATCGAGGAGAAGGTGGGGCCCTTGGGGGTGGGGGCTGAGGGTGCCGCTGCTCCGCGGGGCATTTGGGGCGTTAGGCACCAGTGCTCCTGGGAACGTGGGGGCGGGGAGAGTGGGCATCACGGAGTGTACCCACAAACTTGGGGCCGCAGCTTGCCCACACCTGGGCTTGTGGCTTGGGCTCCTAGCCCTTTGCAGTACAGATGTGGCCACCACTGCCCTCGGGTCACCTTTATTGATGTCACTGCATGACTGCCCTGGTGTGACCTGTGTGGGGATGATGACGGGGCGCACAGACCTGCCCGTAATTCTGCTCCACGCTGCAGACCAACCAGACTAGGCCCCAGGGCTTGGCCAGCCTCACCCCCATGTTATACTTTGCCCTTGCAATCCGTCCTTGGGTTTCACTAGCAGACCCCTCACCCAGCAAGATGTAGGAGGGAAATATCTTAGAAGAACCTGAGTCAGGTGAGCAGCCGTTTACTAAGTCTCACTTAGACTTAAAGGGAGTTTCCAGGAGCTAAGCTCTGGCAAGGAAACCTGCTTTGGGGGTCCCTCACGCAGCCTCCTCTCTCATGCATTTTGTTTCTGCAGAAAACTAGGGAGAGAGAACAAAGGCATTTGGGGTGGGACGGACAGGCGTGACAGTGGAGAGACCAAATCCCGCATGTTTCCAGCACAGAAGGACGCTGCCGTTGCCAGATGGCAAAGGTTCACTGAGAGCTTTTGAGGAAAAGAATCTCTCATTTTGTTTTTCTCATTCATTACACACTCCTTCATCATTTCTGTTTATGATGATAACAAAATGTTTGTAATAATATTATGATAACCAAAGTAATTTGTTAGGCGTGGATACCAACAGCTCAAATAGCCCCGGTCACTTACCTGGTCATTCAAAAGCTGATGGTTGAGGGGTGTCCAGGTACTCATCTTTGTCTGCATTTTGGGACCGTCTATGCTTTTTGGAGGTGCAAATGCCATTGTGAAATAACTGGATATTCTTCTAGAAGAAAAACTACCTATCAGAAGAAACGAATCACACATGCTTCAGAATATGAAAAATACTAGTATGTGGAAACATTGAGCATATTGGGAGCGGGTCGGGGTGGGGGAGGCAGTCATCTGCAGGACATTTTACATGCCAGATACACTTTCTACATGTCTAATGTTATCCTGCAATGTTATTTCTGCAAAAACTTTCAAAGAAAAGAAATTATTTTGGTGCCCTCCCTGGTGGCGCAGTGGGTTGGAGCGCTGCGTTACAAAGCTAAGCCAAGCTGTGGCTGCTTCTGCCAGTTCAATCCCGGCCCCAGAGCTGATGGACAGGGCGCAGCAGCCCTCTCCTGCCCCCTTCCCCCCTTCCCCGCTGCTCCCCTCAATAGTGTACTTTGTTGATCTGCCTGTTCCGCTCCCCATTCTGTCTCTGGTGACTCCTCTCACCACCCCTGCACTTCTGGCTTGTACCCCATTTCTGTATGCATAAATAAATAAATCTTTAAAACAACAAGAAAAGAAAAGAAATACTTTCATTGCAGGATTATGAAATGGCAGCTATAATGATACATATGTGCAGGCAAATTAGAAATTCAAAGCTGGGTCACTAGAGTCTAGACAAGCCCAGCTTAAAAGTAGCTCTCTCTCTTTATTGTTTATTTACAGCTGACCTTTCTTCTCCAAACCAGTTGATTTTAATCTTTTCTCTTTTCTAAAGTCCCACCTTGCAAAGACAATGAACACTACGAATCTTCTCCCTAGAAAAATGCACATGAACATAAATTTTTGCCTACTTCAGCTTAAAAATTCTTGCTGTAAGCTGAAAAGCTCTTCCCCACCCAACTTTGTGTAGGAAACAACCTGATTCTAGACAAGCATCTCTAAATTAGGACAGTGTAGCTTCTTGAGGTGACTCCTCAAGGCCTGCCCTAGTGGTTTTATTTCTCCTGGCTCCTTAGAGCTAGACATTATTTGAATTAAGCCTTTGTTCAAATCACCTTGAGTCTCATTTGGCTTTCGGGAGATGATGCCAGCCGGGGAATAGGCTCCTAGTGCCACAGTCCTGAGTCCAGCTTACCCTGTCATCATCCCTCGCCTCCCCCTGAGGGTGTGCAGGCGCACACACGAGATTTGCCTGTGCTTTTGTGACACATTTCCCGGGATGGCTGTTCTTCAGATGCTCATCATTGACGTTTCTTGGGAAAAAGGCTCTGGGACCCTCGCCTTCAATGTGTGGCTTTGTCCGTGTTTAATAGTAGGTTGGGGTATCCGGTAAAGTTCCAAGGACCCCCAAACTTCCAAGCCATTCTTGACACTGCCCCATGATCAGCTTCACCAAGGACCTAAGGGATTGCATCCATGCTACAAAGGGGAGGCTCTGCTTTCGTGGATCTGAATTCTACTGTTTGCTATTTTTTGAGAGAGAGGTTTGTGGCTGACAAATAAAATTTGAGTATATTTAAGGCATGGTTTTTATATACATACATAGTTAAATTACTACGATAGTTGAAGTATTTAATAAAGTCATCATCTCCCGTAGCTGCCATTTTTGGGTGTGTCTGGTGAGAGCACTTGAGATCCACTCTCTTTGCACATTTCAAGTGAGACATTCTAATGAGCTATACGTCCCACGCTGAACATCAGGTCTCCAGAATGGCGTCATCTCACAAACTAAAGTTTGTTCCCTTGACTGGTATTTCCCCCCCACCCCCCACACCCAGCCCCAGATCGCCAGCAATCTACTTAGGATCAGCTAATAGAGTCACTTTTCAGTTCAAAACTCTTCAGACACTCCCTAAAGGTCACAGAATCCAAGCTCCTTCCATGCACCTAGGTTCACAGGAATTTACCTGCACCTGCCCTTACAGCCCGCCGCCCTTGTCTTCCGCTCTCTGTCCAGACACGCAGAATTTCCCACCATTAATAAACAAGGTACACGATGCTGTAGTTTCTTTGCTGAGTTGTTTTTCTGAGTCTGCTGTCAGTACTAGGTCATCTCAGTGGTACATAATAGGAGCTCAATAAACATTATGTCAACTGAGTGAATGAATGAATACAGTTGGGGAGGTGTTAAAATTTAAAACGTGGAAACTAGCGTGAAGCTCAGGACACTATGAAGGGAGCATCGGCTCATACTCAGGTATATGGAATTTTTGTTCAACGTTTACAGAGCAAAATAGGATTTTGCTTCGCCGATCACCCCACAACTTACCCGTGGTACACTGCAGAGTCATCAGAGAAAAGAATCTCAGCTATTATGGGGAAATGATGGGGAAATAGAATATGATTAGATTTAAATACTAATTCGCCTTAGATGCGGCTAGTCACGAAGAAAACAAACACTGTGATACAAGGCAAAGAGCCCCCGATCTGCTGCTGGGTGAGGGTCACCAACAGGAAGCACCGGCCACTTCACCTGCACCTGCGAGGGGACAGAAAATGTAATCCCCGAAAGCACGACAGGGCTTGTGAGAAGCGCAGGAAGACCTGCGAGTGAGCTCTCAAAAACGGGTTCCCCTGGTCCTCAGGCGCTGCCCGCTGCTCTCACCTTTCCACGTCCCACTGCTCAAGCCTCCAGCTCCCGCGTTGCCATAGCTGCTTTCCCGACAGCGTCCAGCCCCCACCCCGCGCGTGCAGCGGTCCAATCACCACCTATAAATCCTTCCCCTGGCATCCGGGGTCTCTTAGGCAACAATGTGTGGTCTCTTGATTGGCCAGGACATATCCAGAAGGGCTGGCTCCAAAATTGGGCACGCGGAGAGAGAGAAAAAGTGTGCGCACCCCGACCCGGGGAAGGGCCCAACCAACCCCCCAGTGTCCAGGCAGGGTGCAGCGGCGCCCAAACCCCCCCCCCTCTTCTGGGGCTTTCATTCAAGACGTCCCTGGGTTGCACGGAGTCTCACCTCTGGGGCGCGCCAGGTCACAACGCTCTGGTCACTCCGGGGCTCCGTAATGCAAACTCCATTTTTCCAGGTTTTAAGAGTGGCCTACAGGTAAAAGGACTGCAGAAAAGGGAATGGACGACTAGCTCGAGGAAAGAGGGCACCTGGACCGGAAGTGGGAGACGGGGGAGCATGCCCAGCACGCGAACTCGCAAATGCCCCCGGGAGGATTTTAATGCGTGGATTGAGGCGGTCAGGTTGACTGACAGGTACACCGGAGAGCCGGCAGGTGGCATGCCTTAATAAGAATGACTCCGGCTTGGGGAAATTTGACAATCGGCCTGATTTAATTTAGGCAAGATCTGTCCCCTCTCTGGGGGTCCCCTGGGTAACAAGGGGCGGGGTGACAATCCAAGGATAAAAAAAGAAGTCTGATAAGAAAGACGGGGAAAGAGGACGGACTTGTCATGGCGGGCCCTCCTCGGCCCTGCAGTGATACAACTCCCAAAACTGCTGGAGAATCACACAGAATTCCAAATCCAGAATGCAGCCTCTTTGGTAAAGGCAAAGCAATCTTTTTGGGCAACAAATAACAAACGACCCCGACTTCCCGCTTATGCTTCTGAAAATCGGTAAGAATATCCTGCCCCCAACTTCAACCAAGGGAAGCCCTGCGTCTTTGGGCGTTTCATAGTTTTGAAATAGGCAGTGTTGTGTATTTCCAGTCGGGGGAAAAGTGGAGTTAGTAGAGATTGCTGCTCTCCTGGTGTTCACAAAGGGCTGCCGGCCGGCCAAACTGAAATCCGAACCTAGTTTCCTGGAGCCAGCCTGGTGGTTTCCCACACGATCGGGTTGTAGGTAAATGAACCAATAAAGGGGGGCGGGGCGGCAGCTGAGGAGCTACTAGATGTAACACTGAATTAGCGAGTATGGCCAGTTAACATTGGTGCTTTCAAAACGGGTTCAGCCAGAAAGAGACCAGTTGGAACAGCACGCAGGGGGTGCCTGGCGCTTCGTGAAGTTGCTGCTCATTAAAGACTTGGTGGTTGCAACACAGAATGAAAGAGAACCTGATAGAAGAGAGCACCTCGCGTCACCCCTGTGGGATGTGACTATTCTCATCCTCTCAGCCAGGACCCTCTGGGTGCTCCCTTGCCCCCCAATGTGTCCCCTGCCCCCACATAGTGTTTCCTAGTGGACACACCAGTTAGCGTCCACAGGCCTTCAGTGCTATTTTTAACTGAACCACTTGAAACCTAAGAAAAGTTTAGAGAACTGCTTAAGAAACACCACTGGACCCCCCAGAATTTTGTGGTGACAGTTGAAGCCCTTTTGCAGTCCCAAACCCACCCCTTCCCTGCCTGCCTTGAGGTGTCCTGAATGTAGTGTGTGGCTTGTTACATTTTGAATGTTTGCTCTGTTTTGCCTAAATGTCTGTCCCTTAACCGTATGTAGGATGGCTCAGTGGTTTTAAAGAGCTTTCGTTCCTTGCATCTCCTGTCGTTAGCTCTTCCCCCTCAATATTTCTGAGATTTCATCATGTGAATCCCTCAGGAGACCATTTCTATGGTGTCCCCATTTCCCCACGTGATGGTGGGTGCTACGTCTCACCGTTTTGAGGGTGGCGTGCAAATTGCATAACAATGCATCTGGAGGTACATCTCTAGAGGTTTCACTTTTAAGAGGTGGAAACACCCACAAAGCAGGCACACACGGATTTTTGTGCAATCCGCCCTCATACACCGGCCGCTGAGAATCAGCCTAAGGATCAGTGTAACTTGCAGAAACAATCTGACTTCACTGTTTATTGAAGAAAATTGAAAATGCCACTGCCCATCTCATGATGCTTTTCCAGGTAATTCCCTGTCTGACATGAAACTATGTGGCTCTCCAAACTCAATATGCAGTATTTGTTTAATTAACATTTATTGAGCACACCTTTTAAAGTTGTGGTAAAAAGCACATAAAATTTTACCATTGTGCCATTTTTAAGTGTCAAGTACAGTTACGTGGTTGTGCAACAGAACAAAATGATAGCTGTGCAGTCTAGGGTTAAAAGAGAAGAAATGGAAGCAAATGGAAGGTAGGAAAACCAGCGTGTGAATCAGAGCGGCGGTGGCTTTGAATGGATCTGACGCTGTCCTGTACACACGGCATGGATGGGTAAGCCATTGACACTTTCTTTTCCCCAACGAGAGCTTAGCCTCAGATGATGTTTAAGGACGGTTTCAGCTCAAGAATTGTGTAGGTGGAAAAGAGCGGCAACATTTCCTAGGGTGCAAAGCCGGGACGCCAGCAATGCGCACCAGTTCCACCTGTCCACGAAGGCCGTGACATAAAGGGGCAAAGCTGGCCCCTGGGCAGGTGACCTGCCTGCCTCCTGCGAGCCTGGAGCTCGCAGGGCAGCTGCACCCGAGCACCCGGTGACCCGCCTCCAGGGCCCCCACCGAACCCTGGGGTCCGAGGTCGGCAGAAGGGCTTGGGGGGGTTGGCACAAGAGCACCCGGGCCTGGGTCACCCGGGTCTCAGCCAGGGGGCTGCGCTTTGCAGAGAGCGCCGGGTCGCCGCGGGGGCGGGCGCGCAGGCGGGCGGGC